AACAGCCCTTGTAGTTACCTGCTGTCCCTGTCAGGTACTAAATCTCCTTGGCCCATTTTTAAACCTCTGTGCTGCTGTCTCCTCTGTATGTTGTCTTCATTTACCTTGTAACTCTGAGTCAAAGAAAACAGATGATAGAATAGCTGCTTCACAGATGTGCAACTTGCTTTTCCCTTGGAAATTCCTCTGGTAATGAGTTATAAGTTGTATGTGGGCTGGCTCTTTGCGTTCAGGTGAAATTACATGTCTTAAGTTGGTGGCTTCTTTCTGCTGGGGTGACGATAACTGCTTGAAAGCAAAAGTCCCTCAATCTCTGCTGAGCTTTGTCATTTGCAGCTGGAAATATTGAACCCTTCAGCAGATCAACTTGCATGCCCCTGCCCCTACCCTGCAAGTGGCTTTCCCCAGTGATTCTCTTTTTTTTTTCCTTTATGCATTTGTGCAGATGCCTATAAGTGCAAATGATACAAAGAAAAGGTCATAAAATTACAGGTTCATTCCATAGGGTACAGGTATCTTCCCTTTAATACTTCTATGACTAAACTAGTTTATTTCAGTGTATTTTAGCTTAAACTCAAAATGAGTTTAAGTTCCTTAAAGTGAAATATTAACTTCAGAGCTTCTGGCAAACATGTAGCAAAGCTGACAATTCCATGGTTACACACCAAAAATAATGACAGTTACAGCTGTTTTAAAGTTGAGCTGATGTCTGTGTTGGATTACACAAAGGGTGATCCAAACTCCTGAAAACTGGGTCAGATAGCAGCATAACGTGGTTGCTTCTGTATATTTATCTAAAGCTTAAGGTTTTATAACTTTTTTACTGGAAACCTGAAAACACTGATGTTGGAAGGACTATTAACCATTCCTTTTATTGTACCCATATCTTATGCAAACTGGAATCCTCTCTTATCAAAGTGAAGTGATTTTCTTTTTAAGTTTAGAGCCAGGGTACATTGCTCTTGAGCTGAGTAAGAGCTAAACTCCCTTGCCAAACAAATAACAGGTGAATTTATTTGGAAGACTAACAGGGTAGGAACCTTATTAAAAATCATAAAATAAAAGTCTCTGCTGTTTCCTCTAAAGGATTGGATTAAAACTTAAACTGAATATTACTTGTGAAAAATAATCGTCTGGGGTATGCATCATTATTTTCCTTTGTTTCTACTTGATTAGCCCAGTTCCACTGACAAGTTCAAATAACCATTCTCCTGAGTAAAACTGGCTTCACTTTTTTTTTAATGCCTGCTATTAAAGAGACCTATTTCAAATAAGCAACATCATGCCAGTATGGGTAATCTGATCAGCAGAAGTGCTGGAAAATATATTCTACAGTTAGTGAAAACATTTTTGGCCTGATACTCAGGGTACAATAAGAGGTTCTCTGGTTCTAATGGAAGTCTTTCTATGTAGCATATGAACTCCCCTGTGTGTGCTATTTGGCTTTGGGTGTGTTTTGTTGTTTGTTTGCTTGTATTTTAGAAGTACTTTCCATGGCTCTTGTTTTGTTTTGTTTTGTTTTTTGCTTGAGTGATGTTTGTACTATTAAAGTAGTTGATTTGAAATTCTGAATTCCAGTCTCATTCTTTCTGAACAACAGCATCAGATTTTGCCAATTCTAGCTTAAATAAAATCCTCTTCTGGTCTATTATTAATAAAGCAGTAGCTTCTCCTACAACTTGACTTGTAAATTTCAATTTTTATTTTTTTTCAGATATAAAGCCAGCTAATGTGTTCATCACAGCTACAGGAGTAGTAAAGCTTGGAGACCTTGGACTTGGTCGATTTTTCAGTTCCAAAACTACAGCTGCACATTCTTTAGGTAAGTGTTCTCTGAGGTACAGGTGTTGGACAGGTGGATTTTTTGCATGGTGGAAATAGTGTGCCCATTCAAGAGGAGGAAGAAAAGGGTTAGATGCAGCTAAAGGTGTCCCTAAATAATAACAATAATAAAAATGTGCTCATAAAGCTGTTTAATAATAACAATGATGATTATTATGTCAGCACCATGGACAAATACAGAAGAGCTATAACACCAAGGCATTGCTTTTAGCTGTACAGCTCTTCAGTTTTTTTTCCTCTCTTTGTTTGTATCATATAATGTACATTTCTGCCTCTGAACAAGTCTTTATGACAATAGTGTTTCCTAGAAAATAAGGAAAAAATAAGATCAATAATATGGATGCATTTCTTAAAATTCATTTGAACTTTACTAGATCCTTTCCAATAGTGATTAATTCCATGTGCTTTAAGGGTAGCACTATCAGAATGTTGGTTATATGCTTTGAAAGGGCTAACAGAGGAGCTTCCCTGTTTCCAGGTGAAGCTTCTCAATATAAGATAAGGAGTTTGAGGAAAGATCAGAATTTGGCTTTATGGACCATTAATATTTTAAAAACAAAAGAAACCTCCCAAAACAAACAACAAAAACAGTTCCCAGATAACTTATAAAAATAAGAATAGAAGAAAACTTTCTGAAATGCCAAATTTCTTCTTTGCTAGCACACAAAAATAGCATTATATTATTGGTTTCCAGGCAAAATTTTCATGTAATTTGCATCTTTTGTGTAGCATGTGGAGACTAGGATGATTAAGAAGCCTTTAAAGAAGGAAAAGTAAAGATTTGGCAGATATTTTAAGTTTAAAAGTTAGGGAATGGATAAATGACAGTCTTAAGAGGATCTCTCAGGAAGGGAAAAGCCTTGTAAATACAGTAGCATCTGCTTTAAACAGAAGTGTAAGAGTTAGTGTTTATAGTCCTGTTATGTTAGGGTCTTTTCAGTTTTAGAAAAGAACCTTTTCTCTCACTGAAGTGGCTGTGTTCAGTGGTTGCTGAATTCAAGCCTGTTCACTGGCTGCAAAGGGTGTGAAATGAACTTTGAGCCCCCTCAAGAGCAGGACCATTGATGGCAGCATCCAGAATTGTCTTCTGTTCCTTGTGAAGGCCATTGAGGCAGGCAAGAGCACCTAACTCATACCTGAATAAAGATAGGGAAAATCAATTCAAGGGCTGCTCAGTGAGGATTTTTAACAAATGACAGTGACAATTCTGTAATTAGACATTTGGATATTCTGCTTGACAAGAGTGCATGATTAGGAAGGTAATATCTGAGAATGCCAAGAATGGTTAAGTAATGCTCACAGTGCCTATCTTAGGGCCATGGGAGGACACACAAAGAGTTGTTTGCTTAGATACTGATGTTTCTAATTAGACTATGAAATATCAGACTTGTTGGATTAAAATGCCATATTTATCCTCACCTCTTAAACTTAAATTTTCCAAGTTACCAGTAGAGTGTGAAAGATGATTGATATTCAGCATACTTGTACCAATTTTGAGGTGGGAATGATACCTGTATTAACACCCTTACTTCCCTGTGCTCCATAAAGCCTTTGGTCACTCTTGTGTGCCTTCCCATTTTACCATGATGGGTGCATACTGGTACTGGTGTAATCAAAACCATGAGTAACTGCTGAGATTTTAATAGGGCTGAGGTGAACCTCAGACAGAGATGTTCAATCTTGCATTGATAAAAAAAGAGAAATGAGGAGACAGAGGAGAAGTGGTGAGACCAGACTGGAAATGTGCTTGTGTTCCATGTTGAAGATCAGATGTAACCCTAAAGATCTGGTACTAGCACATGGCACAGTGTATTATCCAAAGTGCTGCTGGCATTGCTGCCCTCATAGCCCAGTGGCCGTTTGGCAGCACTCTGGAGATCTTACTTGTTGGGTTCTGCCACTGCCTGCAAATGGAAAAAGGATGTAAATGAGCAGGGGTGAAGAGGGAACTGTAAATCCTAATCTGTGGGTTAGAAGCTTGCAATGAAGGCACAAGTCAGTGGTGAGGGAGGGAGAGTTAGACTTGTGTTCTGTGGCAGAAGTCAGGAAGTTGAAGAGGCACAAACAGCCTCAACCCTGGATTATTTTGGCTTGTGGCAGGGGAATGGTTGCAGAGACTGAACTACAACTTCTAAAAGCTGAAGACTGAGCCAGAGTTAAAAATAGTATAAAATCCCCATGCCTTTTAAAGAGGCAAGAGTCATCTAGAGAGCAGGGGTGGGGGGATGGAAGTTCTGTTTCTCATGTTGGGTGCTGTCTCTTGATAGAGGAGCTGGGTTTTTTTATTTTCTTCCCTATCTCCTCTTTTCCTGTTTCCCTCTTAATTATGACTTAATGTCAGAATTCAGCCTAGGAAAAAATGTTTGTTTCAGCTGTTAACTTAGGCTACAGGGAAGAGACAGTGACTCTCTGATTTATGATGTCACTAGCAGAGACCATTCTTTAAAATTAATTTCTTCTGCAATTTCTGATGCTGGTTTTCTTGAAATTTCTTTCAAAGTTGCATCTTGTTATGCTTCCATGAACCTTTGGTGCATGAAACCCAGTGAATTACAAACATATTATATGTAGCAATTTATACTTGTTTACAGGCCTTATAAAAATTTCAGTAGCAAACTAGATTCAGGCTTTCAGAGATAAAGAAATGTACTAAAATTTTAATTAGCTACAGCTTCTAACTGCTAATTATGAATAACACTGATTTAATTAGAATACTTACTGATGGTCCATTTGAAACAGATGAAAAAACTGCACTGGACAGAGTTTGTTCATGTTCTTAACTCTTTCTATACAGCCTTATCAAGAAGTAGCATTTTTCTATTGTGGCATATCTGTATTATTTTTTTTGAAAATAAAAAAGTCTTTCTTCCGTAAGAGCCAAGGAAAGGGAGGCATTTGGTATTGTTGATTTGCTACAAACTTGATAAAATTTCTTGTCTTCAGAAGACCTTATCTTAGAAAGGGGAATATGTTCCAAGTAAAGCTTCTTATTCCTTTCCCTGATTGTGTTAGGGTTTTTTTGTTGTTCTGTTTTTTAATGGCTGACTGCCAGGCCTTATGCTCTTAGATGAAATGGCAATTCTAAGGCCAGCTCATGGAAACATGCATTTCTTATCTTTGTTAGCCATTCAGTGGATTTAAGGATAGCTTATGTTTTAGTATTTCAGTTGCAAAAAACTAAAAAATAAAAAAATCACTAGAGTTCTCAGCTGTGGTTGTGCTGTAAGGCTGCAGACAGTGTCACCAGGATGTGAATATCTTCTTGCAGGGCAGAGAAGCAGCTTAAAATGCTCAAATACAAAGCATCATTTGCATTGATTTCTGGTCTTTCTCCTGTGGTTCGACAACTATTAACCACAATTTCCATGATGTCCATTCCCTCTCCCAGTAACAGAAACTTGCATAAAAGAAAAGGCACTTTGTGGATCTATCCCAACTTTAAAGGAAGGGAGGTCCAGAGCAGCAGCAGATTCTGAGGAAGCAGTTTGTTTGACCCAGGCCACTTTGAGGGAGGTTTGTCTTATACCTGCAGGTTATCAGAGATGTGCAAATGCAATGAACAGAATGCTCAAGTTACTGATTTTGTTGCTAAAAATATAGGCACCTCAATGTGTTACATCCTTCTCTTGTATTATCCCACTTCTAGGTCTTCAGGTGAGTAAAGGAAGAAGTTGCATATCTCTCTGCTATTGGGATGCTGTATTTCACTTAACAGAAAAAAAAATATCCAGGAAGGAAACATAACATACAATCACATCTGGTAGTTGCTTGCCAGCAGCACAGCTACGTTCCGAGATTGCTCACCATGTTAAAAGGATCATTGCAATGCTTTCAGTAGTTCCTGAATGTCAGAATAATGAATCTTTAGTGTCATGTTCTGTTAAAAAACAGTTTACAAGTAGTAATGATGTCTGAATCTTCAGGCTGTTTTTGTGATTCCATGACTAACATAGCTAATTTCAATTCCTTTCACTAGTTGGTCATCAGGGGCTTCAGGTTGTATTGCAGTAGAGGTGTTACACTAGGCTAAACGCTGTAAAATGATAACATTTGTTCTTCTTTTTCACTATCATCAATCTTTCACAGTCATATCAGACCCCTAATGTATCAGCAGGCTTCCCAGAGCTACTGGTTAAAATTACCTTTGCTTTTGGTAGACTATGAACCTTCAAACCTCTGTGTTTTCAGCTGCCCCCTGTGGATTCTGTGAAGCCTCTTTCTGGCACATTACTCACTGCCAGCTATTTGTGTGATATCTCAGAGCAGCAAAGGCAGTGCTGCTGTAACCAGCGAGCAACCATATTACTATTAAAGTTATTTTTTGTTGCTAGATGAATTCTGCCAACAAAGCATCAGAATATCCTAAACTAGTGCATTAATTAACAGATGCGAAATCTAGCAGAAATTTTTCAGAGGTATCCAAGCTCACAAGTCCTTGGGGTGTTTAAAAAAAAATCGAGAGCGAAACAAAACGGTTAAGAATAATAAAATACATGAAAGCTGTGTCATGCCAAATGTTGTTTGATTACAGGTTCCAACGTTAAGATATCTGTCATTAAACACCCATTAAAGTACTGCTGTTGATACATTAGGAAACAGAGTAGCTTTGGTATTGTGATGTACCCATCTGCCTGCCTATTCTTTCACAGGGAAAAGACCATCCCTCTTGACCATTCCTCAGGTGTGGGTGAATGCAAACGTCCCAGGAGAGTAAACGTGTCCTGCAGTACTCTGTTATTTTGAGTTGCCTTTCCCCGGCCTTTCTCCTTTTAAGCTCTTGATCTTTTGCAGTCTCAGTTGAGAGCTGCAGTGATTCTTCAGGCCAGCTCTAAGGGAGAGGGTCTGTGCAAACTCTGCTTTCCTGGGGCTGGAAGTTTCACCCAAAATTGTAGGATGAGACCTCTGTCCTTGCCTGTCTGTTACAGAAGCACAGTTTATATGGGTTTTCGGTATTGTTTGCAAAGAAGATCAGTTGAAATT